TGCTTCCATTTACTGGAATGTGCATTCCAGTGTAAAACAGAAGAAGAGAAGAAGAGTTTGGATTTGATATCCCTCTTTATCACTACCTGAAGGAGTCTCAAAGCGGCTAACATTCTCCTTTCCCTTCCTCCCCCACAACAAACACTCTGTGAGGTGAGTGGGGCTGAGAGACTTCAAAGAAGTGTGACTAGCCCAAGGTCACCCAGTAGCTGCAGGTGGAGGAGCGGGGAAGCGAACCCGGTTCACCAGATTACGAGTCTACCGCTCTTAACCACCACACTAGCGTTTTCATAACCCAAACAGCTTTGGGTGTTTTCATAACCCTTAGTTTGGATTGAATTACTTCTCCAGCCATTTTCACAAGGAATGGCCTTTTGCATTTCCTGCATCTATAATTCAGATGTAAAACCTATATTGACTAGAATACCTACTTATTTGATAAATGATTCTTTTTCTCTTCTATTTGATTTTAGCTGGACATTTATAGAACTACTCAATAGTCTAGTCACCCTGAATCTAGATGAGGAAGGCCAGAAAAGTGGCCATTTATAAATAGATGGGATAATATATTCTCCACATCTCTTCAAAATGTCATTTGTTGTAAGGTACTGGTATATGGTTAAGAATTACATATGTCAGTGGCTTTTAAATGGTTTTCCAGGAAAATTGTTTCCTGAAAAACTTAACAGACATTCTCCAAGAATATCCGTAATGACCGCTCCCCGCATGAAACGGGGGGCGACCTTTGCGTGGACGCGCCTAGCCCCTGGATCTGGAGCGGCTCCATCAGCATAGGCTTGGCTTTGCCTTCCCTCAGGTGGGATACCTGGAGGTCTCCGCCTACCCCAGTCAGTTGTCCAATCCCACCTGGGGGAAGCGTTGCCAAGGAGATCAGGCCAGGTAGGGGAGGGATTACCTGCCCACACAATAGAGGGAAGATCTTACCTGGGAATCCTTAGAAGACTTTGAGTGCAAACTAAGTTTGGTCAGTCACGACACAAGATTTGCCCAAGCCCTGCACAAGCAAAGAGTGTTTCTTAAGATGAATTCCAGAACATTCTGCAGCATCCTGTGGTCTGGGATCAATATGGAAATTGAACTCCATTGTTCTAACCATACAAGGCTGTGTGATTAGCCACTTCTCTGCTTTGGTGTCAAGTCGACTTGCACATCGTTTGATTTGCATTTCAAATGGGCACTTAAGAGTTTGGGGAAGGAAGAGACAGCTAGAAGCATTATTATTTTTTCCCTGTTTGAATTTGGGCATAGACCAGGATAAAATGGTGACATGCCTGAAAGTGAAGCACTTTGGAAACAGTTGCTCTGTTTAAGAACCTGATACAGGGCGAGTAGTTGTGCTTTCTGCTCTCAAAGTGCTGTGCTTCCGGAATAAACAGCTTACATCTCCAGTGCTCTCTTAACAAAGGAAGTGCTCAGGTAGTGCTAACCACAGAGGAGATGTAGGACTGTACACTTCGACATTTGGAGAAGTGGATGATGCATAACAGCAAACCGTCCAAGTGTCCGTATTCTCCAGGGACATTCCTAGATTTACAGAAGTTACCCCGCTTTCTGATTTGATCCCGGAATGTCTGTATTTTCATTAGGATGTCCCCATTTTCATCAGAGAAATGTTGGAGGGTATGGAATTATGTGACCCGCCGAGCCAAGGAGATAAGTAACTATACAACTATACAACTACACAAGAAGGACACTGACAAACTGGAACGTGTCCAGAGGAGGGCAACCAAAATGGCCAAAGGCCTGGAAACGATGCCTTATGAGGAACGGCTAAGGGAGCTGGGCATGTTTAGCCTGGAGAAGAGGAGGTTAAGAGGTGATATGATAGCCATGTTCAAATATATAAAAGGATATCATATAGAGGAGGGAGTGAGGGAACGATGCCTTATGAGGAATGGCTAAGGGAGCTGGGCATGTTTAGCCTGGAGAAGAGGAGGTTAAGGGGTGATATGATAGCCATGTTCAAATATATAAAAGGATGTTATATAGAGGAGGGAGAAAGGTTGTTTTCTGCTGCTCCAGAGAAGTGGACATGGAGCAATGGATCCAAACTACAAGAAAGAAGATTCCACCTAAACATTAGGAAGAACTTCCTGACAGTAAGAGCTGTTCGACAGTGGAATTTGCTGCCAAGGAGTGTGGTGGAGTCTCCTTCTTTGGAGGTCTTTAAGCAGAGGCTTGACAACCATATGTCAGGAGTGCTCTGATGGTGTTTCCTGCTTGGCAGGGGGTTGGACTCGATGGCCCTTGTGGTTTATTCCAACTCTATGATTCTATGATTCTACAACCTTTAGAAGACATATGAAGGCAGGCCAGTCTTAGGGAAGTTTTTTTAAAAAAACATATTTAATGTTTTATTATGTTTTTATATATGTTGGAAGCTGCTCAGAGTACCTGGGGCAACACGGTCAGATGTATGTTGTATTGATAATGATAATGATAATGATAATGATAATTGTTGCTCTGATTTGCAGCCTCTTTGGATGATTTTGCCTCCCTAGGATGTGTCAAACTCTGGAAATACCCGTTGGTTGCCCAGATGGAGTTATGCAATCCCCAAGCTAGGGAGATAAGTAACTACACAACCTTTAGAAGGCAACTGTATAGGGAAGATTTACATGCTTAATGTTTTTATATATGTTGGAGGGAAACCCAGTCAGATGGGCGGGGGTATAAATAATAAAATTATTACTATGGAATAGGACGTCCCTATTTTCATTGGAGAAATGTCTGGAGGGTATGTAACAGTGCAATAAGGAGCTCATTTAAGCATTTGACTGAGGTACGTGAAAGAAAAATCAAGGCACGCTGTCATCTTGTCATACCTTCTAGAGATCTTAAAATAACCTTCAAGGAAGAAAACTTCCCTCTGCATCAAGTGGCGTGGAATGGACGCTATGAGGAGGTGTTTAGAAAGCTGCCGCTATCCCATCCGTCATGCGTGACATGTACTTCGCTAGGAGAGATAAGCACTTACAGGTCTTTCATCATCTCTCCTTCCACCTTCCTTCCCCTCCCTTCCCCCCATCTTTTCTCATTCCTTTTTCAGAGCATGAGACAGAGAAGCTCAACCACAGGGTTAGCTGCTGTCAGAAACCTCCCTAGAAAACCTTCCTGCCTCAAGCTCTTTGGGGAGTCCTCAGGCTATTTCCTAGCCCAGTGTAATAAACTGCTAAAATCTCTGAACTCCCAGATTGAATGCATTATTACTGTGGTATACAATTCATTCCATCTAAGCTTTCAACCTGCTAATGCTAAAAGGGAATAGGCTGGCTGGAAGCTGCAACTCCCTCTCTTTTACACAGCAGCAGCGAGTGCAAAGTAGCAGCCAGCCAGCCAGCCCCTCACTTTTTTGAGCTGCATCCTCAATGAATGCAGCAAAGTTGTCAAAATATTTATTAGCACTAATGCTATATTTACAGGGAGCTGGATTCCACCCCCACCGTCTTCCCTTTCATATTTCTGGTTGAGGGTAAAAAGAAAAGAACTCGGTGGAAAAGACATGTGTCTAGAAGAATAATTTAGAGATATTTTACATACAGGAGGCAGTTGATGATGATGATGATAGGAAAGTTTTTTGGGAGGCATTCATTGATTCCAGGTCTTCTCCATGGGTCCTATTGTCAACATTTTCCACCGCATATTATTTCATAATCCATATTTTGTATCTCTCCTTATTGTCCATAATATTTGCTACATTGCAAGTGTTATTAAAGTGAAGGTAAAGGGACCTCTGACCATTTGGTCCAGTCGCGACCGACTCTAGGGTTGTGGCGCTCATCTCACTTTATTGGCTGAGGGAGCCAGTGTACAGCTTCTGGGTCATGTGGCTAGCATGACTAAGCTGCTTCTGGTGAACCAGAGCAGCGCACAGAAATGCTATTTACCTTCCCGCCGGAGCGGTACCTATTTATCTACTTGCACTTTGACGTGCTTTCAAACTGCTAGGTTGGCAGGAGCTGGGACCAAGCAACGGGAGCTCACCCCATCGCGGGGATTCGAACCGCTGACCTTCTGATCAGCAAGTCCTAGGCTCTGTGGTTTAACCCACAGTGCCACCCGCTTCCCATTGCAAGTGTTATTAGATTCCTGCTAATGTTTTCATCGTCTTACAGTGGTCTCCTAGATAAATTATAAACTTTTCCCATTCTTTATTGAGGTTTTGGTCTTCTTGGTTCCTGAGCCTTGACCATTTTAAACACATTTGCAATCTGCAAAGAGGAAATATAAATGCATATGCCCATACTTTTTCTCCACTGTTCAAAGAGGCTATGCATTGGTTATTGCTGACGTGTAGTGAGATGGTGGGCAATCCTGATGCAGTATATGCCCGTAGGAACACGCTATATAGGTGTGATTCAAGCATTTATGCATACAAGTGTATGTGTGATTCACGCAATTTCCACTTTCCTGAATAACACATTAAACGGTGCCTGCAGATGTAGGCAAACCACCGTGGTGAGAAACATGCCCCCCACATGAAATAGGCTTTTCCCAGAAGAGCAGATTTCGGGACAAACTCATACTTTGATTTCTTCAAAACCAGATACAGTGGTACCTCGGGTTACGAACTTAATTCGTTCCGGAGGTCCGTTCTTAACCCGAAACCATTCTTAACCCGAGGCGCACTTTCGCTAATGGGGCCTGCTGCTGCTGCCGTGCCACCAGCACTCAATTTCCGTTCTCATCCTGGGGCAAAGTTCGCAATCTGGAGCAACTACTTCCGAGTTAGCAGAGTTTGTAACCCAAAGCGTTTTGAACCCGAAGCGTTCGTAACCCAAAGTACCACTGTATGTGCAGTTTTATTTGCTGCTGACTGTAGGTAAGGGCATCCACGTCTGCATATAGGCCTATTGTTCTGTCACAGTTGGTGGTCAGTAAATCCCATCCTGGTGAGATGGGACACCTGGATTGCTGGTATCCTGCACTCCTGCTAGCATTTCCTCTATTAGGACTGCTAACACTGTCAGGGGAGGCACTTCCTCCTCCTCTTCTTCTTCTTCTTCTTCTTCTTCTTCTTCCTCCTCCTCCTCCTCTCCCGCCCATCTGCTGGGTTTCCCTAGCCACTCTGGACAGCTCCCAACCGAATAATAATAATAATAATAATAATAATAATAATAATAATGTGAGAAAGCATCAAACATTAAAAACATTAAAAACTTCCCTAAACAGGGCTGCCTTCAGATGTCTTCTAAAATTCAGATAGTTGTTTATTTCCTTGACATGTGACGGGTGGGCGTTCCACAGGGCGGGTGCCAATACCAAGAAGGCCCTCTGCCTGGTTCCCTATAACCTCACTACTCACAGTGAGGGAACTGCCTGAAGACCCTTGGAGCTGGACCTCATGCGATCAAACCTATGACTTTGATGGACAGTATCCATACATTACCAGTGTGCTTTGGATCCAGCCATAGAGGAGCAACTTTAGACTGGCTACCATGCGGCAAAGATGATTTATGGACCTGAGTAAGAGACTAGGAAGGGATGAAGCAGTGAGCGCCCACGTACACAACTGAAATGAGTCAAAGGTATACAAAACCCTCAGCCAGCTTGGTGAGTTGTCATTCCATCCCAGAAACACTTCACACTCTACATGGCAGTCACATTTGCTGCGGTTACACAATGTATTGCATACTAAATACTTAACATGTACGTATAAGATTGAGACACATGTGCATTACTACTTTGGTACTACACTGAACAGATATAATCCCTGATTGGCTTACTCTCTTCAGTATGAGTTCTACAATGGTGGAACAGTAAAGGTAAAGGACCCCTGGATGGTTAAGTCCAGTCAAAGGCAACTGTGGGGTGCAGCGCTCATCTCGCTTTTCAGGCCAAGGGAGCCGGCGTTTGTCCACAGACAGCTTTCCAGGTCATGTGGCCAGCAGGACTAAACTGCTTCTGATGCAACAAGACACTGTGATGGAAGCCAGAGCGCACGGAAACGGCGTTTACATTCCCTCCACAGCAGTACCTATTTATCTACTAGCACTGGTGTGCTTTTGAACTGCTAGGGTGGCAGAAGCTGGGACCGAGCAACGGGAGCTCACCCCATCGCGAGGATTTGAACCGCCGACCTTCTGATTGGCAAGCCCAAGAGGTTCAGTGGTTTCGACCACAGCACCACCCACGTCTCATGGTGGAACAGTAGGGAATAAAGAAATTGTATCCCATATTGTTAAACATTGAAGCCTGCCCTTTATATGTGTTTTATTACTGGGACCGGTGTGTGTGTAAAAAAACCCATATAGCCAAAGCAATACCAATTCCTGCATTAAGCAGCTGTCAAAAGCTCTAATCTTGGTGGCATTCCATGGTGTGTTCATTGGTTTCAGGCAGATTAGAGTGACAACAGTTTGCACACAGGTGCGTTCATAGAGAATGAGAAAGAAAGAGAAAAGCTATGAAACGATATTGACAGGCACTATTTGCTTTTATTTGAAAAATTGTATTATTTATCTGAAAAGCTGTTTATTCCTCGGTGTGCCAGTGTGCAGTATCAGTCAGCAATTGAACAATAGCGTTATTGTGGCAATGCAAAGCTTGTGTTAAAAGGAGATGTTGTCAGAGGAGAAGGCAGAGCTCACTACCATAAGCTGATCTTGGAGGAATGTTTTGAACATTGTTCTTCTGTCATTCCATCTGCAGAGGCTCAGTTGTACAAGGACGTTCCCTTAGGCAGTATCAATACAGTATTGAGGTTTACGAGCCAAGATGCACATCACAAAGAATTTTAATAAAGCTTGACAGATATATTGCATTAATAGTGCTGATGTTAGTAAGGTAGGACCTGCAGAGTCAGGTGTGTGTATGCTCAGCAGTGGTTAAAATCTGAGAAGAAGAAAAAGCACCAGTTTATAGAGCAGATGTTATTGGTTCAGGGGAAATCCATTTGTAAATCCTATCCTTTTTGTGATTGGTCAGAAGAACTACATGTTGTGATACAGCATTACATACAAGGGAGGGGATTGGGGCTGACTCAGTAATGGACAACCAGGGCTGGGGCAAAGACTGGATAGCTCAGGTGGTTAGAGTGAGCAAGGGGATAGTGCTCATAACGCTGAGGTTGCAGGTTCGATCCCTATATGGTACACCTGTATATTCCTGCATTGCAGGGAGTTGGACTGGATGATTCCCAAGGTCCCTTCTAACTCTACAATTCTATGATTCTGTGAACCAGGAGCTTTCCAATTCACTACATCACTCTAAAAAGGTAAAGGTAAAGGTACCCCTGCCCGTACGGGCCAGTCTTGCCAGACTCTAGGGTTGTGCGCTCATCTCACTCTATAGGCCGGGAGCCAGCGCTGTCCGCAGACACTTCCGGGTCACGTGGCCAGCGTGACAAGCTGCATCTGGCGAGCCAGCGCAGCACACGGAACGCCGTTTACCTTCCCGCTGGTAAGCGGTCCCTATTTATCTACTTGCACCCAGGGGTGCTTTCGAACTGCTAGGTTGGCAGGCGCTGGGACCGAGTAACGGGAGCGCACCCCGCCGTGGGGATTCGAACCACCGACCATGCGATCGGCAAGTCCTAGGTGCTGAGGTTTTACCCACAGCGCCACCCGCGTCCCTCTACATCACTCTAGATTATGCTAAATTAGAAATGTGAGCATTACAGGCTATGCTGCTTTCCACTGGTGGAGACGGCAACAAATTCATCAAATGTTGCTAATGTTCACTTATTCCTCCCATGTTCCAGAATGGAAAACAATGCAGTGGAAACAACAACAACAACAACAACTTTATTTACACCCCGCCCTCCCTGGCCAGAGCCGGGCTCAGGGCAGCTAACACCAGTAAAATTACAATAAAAACATAATGGGGGGGGGGACCAATTTAAAATGCAGTTTAAAATACAGTTTAAAATGCAGCCTCATCTTAATAGTAGCCCATAGATCAAAACCATAAGGGGAGGGAAACATAAGGGTCAGACTGAGTGCAAACCAAAGGCCAGGCGGAACAGCTCTGTCCTGCAGGCCCTGCGGAAAGATGTCAAGTCCCGCAGGGCCCTAGTCTCTTGTGACAGAGCGTTCTACGAAGTTGGGGCCAGTACTGAAAAGGCCCTGGCCCTGGTTGAGACCAACCTAACCACCTTGCGACTTGGGACCTCCAAAGTTTGTCATTTGTGGACCTTAAGGTCCTCCGTGGGGCAAACCAGGAGAGGCGGTCCCGTAGGTATGTGGGTCCTAGGGTATTTGCTGTTGTTTTTTTCGGTTCACAAACAATAGGTACTTGATGATGCCCCAAGTTGCGCTGTGTTTCCTTTGCAATGAAATGAATGGATTTTGCATTGAAATGAATGGTGCAGAATAACCCGGTGATAACTTAATTATTTGCGGAATGAATTACAATGAATTTGGTCACAGTGGTGACAGAGGCAAAAAACGTAGTCTCTTGTCAGAAGCCAAACTGCAGTGGCACAGAAAAAACGCTGGGTGAAAAGAACACAAGTTGGTTCAAAAACCAATGCCTTCTTACATCCGTAGTCTAGGATGAAGCATGGATCTGCTGTAAAAAAAGTCTCTTCCTTCCTTATCACTCATTGCCCTCCACCATTCTTTAAATAGTCCTGCCCCAACTTCCAAGTTTATCTACTGTACCCCTTCCATCCACTCCTCAGGAAATCTCAGTTATGAGATACCTTCCAAATCAGTTTGTGAACAATGTATATTTGTTGTTGTGTGATAAATCCTTTCCTCCTCAGAGACATGACAGTGATGAGTTTGTGGTGCTACTTCCAACCATCTTTAAAATGCAAATGCTGCTTTGATATTCAAACAACCCTGCTTCTTCACTTTCCAGCATTTGGTATTACCATTTTTTAACCAAGACTTATGAAGCTTTGTCCTTAATAAGGGCAAGTTGCCAGAGGATTTTACTTGCCTCTTACGGACACTGAGCTTGGCTCCATTCCCCTAAGTACCGAAATCCAATGAAATACATAATAAAAATAGAAATAGACTGCAGTCTTTGGCTTTTATTAAGAAATATTTCCAAATGGAACCATTTTGTCAGATCTTTCTTAAAGGAAAAAAAATAGTTCACAACATAATAGAAAGCTATTAAAGTGGAATATTAGCCGCACATGTCTTTGGAACCTATAAAATGCTTACCAAATAATCCATAACCAGTCAGCTATAAGTACAATATTTAAAATATTAGTGTCAGGGGGAACATCCACAAAGGAGTCAGTAAAAGGCAAGGATGGGGGATAAGAAAACTGAGAAAACTGATTGGTACAGATCTTTTTATATTATTATATAAGAAGCAGGTGTATTTTTAAGTGCAATCTAGCAGGTGTGACTCAGGCTTCATTTATTTCAGTGGAGCTTGTATGGAAGCATACTGGCATCTTCTGCAACAGTTTGCACCTGGGTAGAAATAAACATAGGATTACAATGGAAGATAGGAAAACTGAGCTGCTGCCGTATGGGGAGAATGGCAAGTATCTTAGCTCTAAGATAGAGTTCTCACTAAGGTGTTTAACATGTGTGACCTGTACCACTGACGTGGGATTCACATAGATACCGTATTTTTTGCTCTATAAGACTCACTTTTTTCCCTCCCAAAAAGTAAGGGGAAATGTGTGTGTGTCTTATGGAGCGAATACAGGCTGTGCAGCTATCCCAGAAGCCAGAACAGCAAGAGGGATTGCTGCTTTCACTGTGCAGCGATCCCTCTTGCTGTTCTGGCTTCTGAGATTCAGAATATTATTTTTTCTTGTTTTCCTCCTCCAAAAACTAGGTGCGTCTTGTGATCTGGTGCATCTTACAGAGTGAAAAATGAGGTAAATGCTCCCCCCCCCCTCTCTCTCTCTCACACACACACACACACAGAGAGAGAGAGAAGAGAGAGAGAATGATATCATGGAAAGGGGTAGGATAGAATTTGCTCTGACATGTTGAGCTAATAATAATAATAATAATAATAATAATAATAATAATAATAATAATTTATTATTTATAAGCCACCCATCTGACCTCAGTTGCCCAAGCATTCTCATTGCCCAAGCCATTCTGACTGGCTTCCAACAATTTATAAAACCACAGTAAAACATCAAACTTTAAAAACTACCCTGTACAGAGCTGCCTTCAGATGTCTTCTAAAAGTCGGATAGTTGTTTATTTCCTTGACATCTGATGGGAGGGCGTTCCACAGGGCGAGCGTGACTACTGAAAAGGCCCTCTGTCTGGTTCTCTGTAACTTCACTTCTCACCATGAGGGAACCGCCAGAAGGCCCTCAGAGCTGGACCTCAATGTCTGGGCTGAATGATGGGAGTGGAGGCAGTCCTTCAGGTATACTGAGCTGAGGCCATTGAGGGCTTTAAAGGTCAGCACCAGTACTTTGAATTGTGCTCGGAAACATACTGAGAGCCAATGTAGATATTTTAGGACCGGTGTTACCTGGTGGCTGCTCTAAGTCACCGGTCTGCCAGCCACATTCTGGATTAGTTGTAGTTTCTGAGTCACCTTCAAAGGTAGCCCCACATAGAGTGCATTGCAGTAGTCCTAGCAGGATAAAACCAGAGCATGTACCATTCCGGTGAGACATTGTGCAGGCAGTGTACCAAATGGAGCTGGTGGACAGCTGCCCTGGACACAGAATTGACCTGTGCCTCCATGGACAACTGTGAGTCCAAAATGACGCCCAGGCTGTGTACCTGGGGCACAGTTGCCCCATTCAGGACTAGGGAATCCCCCACACCTGCCCACCCCATCTCCCAGAAACAGTACTTTCCCTGTTTTGTCGGGAGTCAACCTGAATCCATTGACTACCAACTTGTTCAGACATTCCTCTCTCAGTTTTAGCTGAGATTAAATGAGACTTTCATCTGCATATGCAGCCCTTTCATTCAAACTGTGATTAAATCAGGAAGTCTCTAATGAACGATTGTTTTTGGTTTCATCCAAATTGAGGAAGATTGAGTTATGATGCGCAGAACAAGCCAGGATCGTAAACCATGCTTGAAGCTGGCTTAAGTTCCTGACTTGCTCTGAATGCGGTAACCCTGATTTCTTGGTTCAGATTAAGCAGAAAACTCTAATTGATTGGAGACTCCATTGTGTTATCGTAGCTCATGTGAACAGAGAAGTGGCATGAACAAGTAAAATGCTGGTTCATATCTTGGCATGTTAAGCTGAGATATAATGTCCAAAGTGGGTCATAATTTTACATGTGGGGGATTTTCACGTTTGGTGTGTTATAAAAGAGCATCCTATGATTACCACCTCATATATTCTGAAGTGGTACAGCCTCCTCAGTAAGAATTTGACCAAAGTTTGCAGGAAGACATAAATAGAACATGCACGACTTCAGTATCTCAGCCAGGTGCTACAAGTTACTGATAACTAAGAAAGAGTCCAGTGTTTTGTTGTGAGTTGCAAATCCCAATATTTATTTCTGCTTGTATGAAATTGCTCTTTGAAGGAAAATTCCGCAGCTGTTGTCTATCATATGGGAATAGAAGGACCTGATGACTATACATATATTTTGCCAACAATTAAAATTATTGGCTTAAGGGATTTCCCAAGCCGAGAGTCTACATCCCAATGAAACCAATTGCTTTATGATTGCTGTCAAAGGTATAGTGACATTTGGAGAGGCTTCTGGCATGAAGGAAGCATGCAAATTTGGGATCGGTTGTTTGAGCTGGCGGTCACAGCTCCGTGGGACAAAAATAAATCAGCAATTCTCAGTTCACCATCTCTCTGTACTGTGTGCTTAGTGGATCAGAAATGGGCATTGGCAGGTAGGAGCCAGAGGATAGCCAAAAGCAGCTCACATCAATATTCATATGTCAGGAGTCGCAGCTACAGGATGTGAAAACAGGCTGTATTTCTGGAACAAATAAAGCGGAACCATTTAGCTTCCTTTTCTGCAGGAAATGATTTAAGGCAAATATACCTCATTTAAAAACTGGACAGTGGTGAGGTGGGGTAAGGGGCCGTGTGACACCTTGCCAGGGATCTGAACAAAAAATAATTGACTATTACTGTCAGCTACTGAGAGGTGTGTAGTGGGGTCCGTCCCCCCCAGCATATTTTAAAAGTTCTGGTCTTATTAGCAAGGTAAATTTGCCTTTGACTTGTTAATCATATATATATCTTTAGGAAGGCCTCACAGCCGATATGGTACTTTTCATTTGTTTTTCATAGACCCATGATGGATTGCTGGCTGTCCCACTTTGATATAGAACCCTAAATGAAACTGGCGAAGGAGTTACAGCCTCAGTAAATAGCACCAGCCGCTGTCGGAGTCTGTCCTGGCATTCTAATAAGTCTCATCTCCAAGCATGTGGTTTTCTTAATGAGAGAGCTGACTTTGGGACTCTTTCATGAATTATATTGTGGTCAAGTTAGAAAGTAGAATATGATTTCTTAGTCTTTCCTGTCCCTTTCATTACACACACAAACACACACACACACACAGAGAGAGAGAGAGAGAGAGAGAGAGAGAGAGTGCTAGTGTTCTATTCCATCCCTGGAAGCTGTAACTGCAAAGTACAAGACACAAAATTGACTAAATAATGGATCGGAAGTACTGCTTCACTGTTTGGTGCTCTGTCTCTAAGATGTGGGCTAATAACAGACAATAGATTGCTGAAGATGTTAATGACAGAACCATCATTCCTTGTAGTCTATATACTCATTTTTCCTTTCCAGTATTGTTTCTGGTCCTTTCAAAAGCTGGAAAACCTTGTTTCACTAGAAAGGAAAAAGTGTGGACGTATTGGCAACAACGGGTTGAATGAATTTTCATTTAAGTCCCTTCTAACATTTTTTTATATTTTGAGTCAGAAACTAGTTTGAATGTTCTTGAACATTTTGCCCCATGGATGAATATTCTGTATATTTCAAGAGCTGTTCAGTAGCAGTGTTCCTCCTAACTGCTGCATCGGCCACCTTGGAATAACCATATGAGCAGCCCCATCTTACTGGATATCACACAGAGGAAAATATGATACTCAAATGCCCCAAATTTGGCTACATTGTTTACTTTACCATTCAACAAGATGTATAAACTGCTTGATAAACCTTAAAGGATGATGTCGCTAGGCTCAAGTGAGAACTGTTAAGAAAAACTGAGAGATGACATAAGTTGGGAAATGTAAATGGACAAACAAGTACTGGCATGGGAATTTGTCAAAAAGAGAGGTCATTTTTGACACTGGTAAAAACGACAAAAAACTGTGAGCACTTGCAACTCAGCTGCACTTTCATCTCTCTCAGAAGCTGTTGTCAGTTTCTAGCCTCATGGCTGTTCTTACATGATAAAGCTACTGGATAGAGTTGCCACAGCTGTGGCAGCATGTTGAACTGACATTTTTGGTGAATGCTTCAGCATGACTCTTCCTTGAATGGTCCCAACGTATTTCCATTGCAATGCTATACCTGTCTACTCAGAACTAAGAACCACAGATGAGGAGGAGTGTTGTTGTTAATTTATTAATCACTTTCTATACAATTGTTTCAAGGTGGTTGTACAACAAAAGCAGAAAAAACGAATTTACATTTAAAACAAAACTAAAACCATACAAAATAGGCATCCAGTTGGGAACTCAGTGGTGCTTACTCGCATGTAAGTGAGTGTAGGATTCAGCCTTAGACTCCATCAGATAGCATACTTGTGAGATTAGGCCTTTTTTCACTCAGTCTCTTCATATTTATTTACATTGAACTTGTCAAATCTGGAGACATCCCTTTCACAGCCTGCAAATCTGCTCATGGTCCACTCTGGAAAATTTCAAAAAAGGTATCTGTCCCAAAACAGACCTTCAAGGAACCCCACTGTGGGCCCTTGTTTGATCCCGAAAGATCAAGTTCAAAGGCCACCAACATGGTGCCCTCCAGATGATGTTGAACTGCAACTTTCATCAGGGCCGTCTTACCCATAGGCACTAGGGGTGCGAGGCACCCGGGCACCAGGCTCTCAGGGGCACCAGGCCGAGAGTCTGAGGCCTGAGAGTTGAGTCCAGGGAAGAGCCCGCCCATCGGTCAGAGCACCATGGCAGGCTCTTCTGCTGCGGGTGGCTCTGCGCTGCAAGTTTGGGGACGATCGAGTCAGCGAGACGCTGAGGTGGTCGGCCGGCTCCACCCTCCTGCGTGCCTGGGACTGAGCAACCGGGGGATGGGGGGCGCCAGGTGAATCTTTGCACCCTGGCACCACATATGCTTAAGACAGCCCTGACTTTCATCATCCCTGAACATTGGGCATGTTGGCAGGGGCAGCACCATGTCTGCTTTCCTGATCTAGTTGGTCACTAACCCAGTTCAAGTAGCATGTTAAACCAGGTATCTTCAACCTTTTCAGACACAAGGCCCACTTTTAACCCCAGCATGCATTTGGTGACCAATTCCTAAATCGTTTACCATATGTTTGCATGATGATAGTGCTCCCATTGTGACCCACCTTGGAGCAGGTCATAAACCACTAGTGTGTCCCGACCCATCAGTTGAATACCAATATGCTAAACAGTCATTTAGCATGACCAGAACAAGCCATAGAGAACCTCAGGTTTATGCCTCCGCTCCTTCCACTCTGGTATGGTCATGATCTTCCTTCTAGTTTGTATTTGCTGCAGCTTGCCTGTAGCTGAATCCCCAAAATGCTGGCTAATCCCAAATATGGTGTTCTGGTAATTGGCTAACTTCAAATCATGCATCATGATATCGGCTAGTTCAAACAAACCACAGGTAAGCTTACTTATCCTTCAGTTTTCAGATGATTTGCTAAACTGTGGGTAGTGGAAATTGAAAGCAAATCCTTCTTGCTAAGCTATGATTTAGTATTGTGAAGTCCAAATGGGGCTCTTAAGTGCTCTTCTACACTTCCGTTTCTCCCACTGCATTCTGGGACAAGCAGAAAACCTCTCGGACCTCTGATTTCTATGTGTGGGACAAGCAAAGTGTGGACAAACCCTCAGTTTCCTGCTTACCCCCAGGACAGCAGGGAACTATTACAAACAATACCTATTCTCACCCTTTGTCTAGTGTGTTCTTAAATGTCTCAATCCATAGGGCTTGCATCGCTTCCTTGAGAGACTATTCCACAGCATAATAGATCTCAGTGCAATGTAATTTTGTGTCAGAATATATCTTTAGAGGTAGAGATGTATTAGCAGGTTAAAAGATTTATTTCTCCTTTGTTTCCACAACACAGAGGGAAAGGCCATTCCTTCTTCCTCCTCTGCATCTGTCACGGGAATTTCGGTTCATATTTCTCACTGGGGAACAATAATAATCACACAGCCCCTAAACAAAAAAGTGAAACATTTCACAGTACGGCTGACCTTTGAAGCCGTTTAACTAAAATAGAGGTTGAATCGGAATTACATTGCAATGCGTATTCCTAGACACTTCAGTGATTCACCGTAACTCATTCATTAAGCCAATATTCCCACTTCCCCCCCTTTACCATATAACGCAGAGCACTCTGCTATGCATTCTCTCTCTTGTGTTAACTTATAATGGCAATTTAATGAATACTATTTAGTTGCTTGCACGCATTACTTAAATTCACAGCTGTGCAAGGGAAGGTAGCTGAAAATCTGTAGATGAAAACGCGTCAGGTAAATAGCATGTTATTGCAAAGAAGCAGGGTAGCTCATTTACTCTGAAGAACAAAAACGTACAGGTTTTATTTTAAGGTAGCTTCTTCTGAAGGGATGCTAAACATTCCAGTAGCATTGCAGGTTCACATTATGTGCCAGAAGTCAGCTGCCTTATGAGGCCAGTTGGAAATGTTTGGGGCCTTTGTGTCACTTGATCCCTGAGATATTGGTAAATGCAATAGCACTCTCTTACCATCTGCAGTGGAGGCGCTGAAGAGCAATAATTAGCAAGACCAATAGTTCCACCCTCGTGCACTAGACTATGTTAGGTATGAGGCCATTTGTAGCTTACAGCGTCCCAAAGTCTTTCAAAGGCACTTCCTGTCATACTCCCCTCCTACCTTACAAATTAAGTTTGGGACAGGATGGGGGAGAGGATATGGTAGCAGGGAAGGATGGAGGAAAGACCTGAAATAAAACAGGTCTTTCTGACATTCCAGATAATAACCTGGAAACGCTTGGAAAGGACTGGCACACTTAGAACGGGAACAGAAGGAGTTCAAATAGTAGTAAAGGTGAAGGGTAAAGGGACCATTAGGTCCAGTTGTGACCGACACTGGGGTTGCGGCGCTCATCTCGCTTTATTGGCCAAGGGAGCTGGTGTACATGTGGCCAGCATGACTAAGCTGCTTCTGGCGAACCAGAGCAGCACACGGAAACGCCGTTGACCTTCCCACCAGAGCGGTACCTATTTATCTACTTGCACTTTGACGTGCTTTCAAACTGCTAGGTTGGCAGGAGCAGGGACAGAGCAATGGGAGCGGGGATTTGAACCGCCGACCTTCTGATCGGCAAGTCCTAGGCTCTGTGGTTTAACCCACAACGCCACCCGTGTCCCTTCTAATAGTAGCTGTAGTAATAATAATAGAAAATCTGTGGCACACACTAGCCAAAAATAAGCACATTAAACATGAACTACTGCAGAATTGTGTTAAACACTGAGTGAAACACTGAATTTATCCCCTTAAAATCAAGAATATAAAAAGTGACTGATTTTAAGAGCACTTCTTGTGGCAACTTTTTATTCATCACAACAACTGTGGTGCAGCCAGCCACACAAGGCAGCCACTCTTAAAGCAAAGGTTTTCTAGAATTATTAATTTTTGTGTTTGGCTTGCATGCACAGTACATAAGTTCACAGTACATAAGTTTCTAGCTGTAGACACTTAGGGTGTAGAGCGGATGTGATGAATACTCACATAGCATCTGGTGTGACACAAGGTGTGGAGGCAGAGAGACTAGCATCTACCACCCTCTTAAATGTCACCGCTGCAAGACTACCTTGTGAGATGTGTGTTGAAGACCAATATTATTCCGTTGACATCTACCCACAGCTTTTGTAAGCACCTATTGAAATAGGACTAACTGGGGTGCTGAACATGAGATCTATTTGTAGCATTAAAGTTGCAGTCTTATGCACACCTACATGGAAATAGCTCCTGTCACATTCAGCGGGATTTATGAATATATAGGCTGCATTTGGACACGGGGTTTATTGTGTTAGTTTTACTGGTTATAATGTCAGCGCTTCTGTCCCGATGTCTGTACCCTTTATGATACAGTGGTACCTCTAGTTACAAATTTAATTCGTTCCGGAGGTCCGTTCTTAACCTGAAACTGTTCTTAACCTGAGTCATGCTTTTGCTAATGGGGCCTCTTGCTGCTGCTGCGCCGCCGGCACACGATTTCCGTTCTCATCCTGGGGCAAAGTTCTCAACTTGAGGTAACTCTTCCAGGTTAGCGGAGTTTGTAAACTGAAGTGTTTGTAACCTGAGGCATTTGTAACTCGAGGTACCACTGTACTGTGTATTTTTATCAATATATTGTGGTGCTAAATTTTAAATGGCAAGGAAGAACTGTATGCCAGAATACCAGCCCAAATATTATTACGTGAAATCATAGTGTGATTTTCTGAGGTGATGGGGTTAGCAACATATTTTTCTTTCTTTTCTGAAATGACACAGAAATTAGCTCTAAGCTTTCACTAGATCTCACTAGATTTTCAAAAGTGGTTTATGCCATGTGAAACTTAACATAAAAATCAGAAATTAACAGGTAAGAAAACATTAGGAAAACTGGATAAAGTGCTTAATGCCCAGTGATCAACAAATGGAACTTAGTTAGTTTTGCCGCAGCCAGATTATTCTTGACTGCTGGTAACACAAAGGTGGGCTCTTTGATTGGAAACACCCATGTCATAGCACACACTTCCTGCTGAAATACAAAAGACCTCACCACCATTGGCATTCCACCCGACACACCCATTTAGACAGTGGTGTATGGTCAATAGACTAGAGGGACTAGGCTAGTCCCCTAAATGTTCCAGGTAAATTAGTGTATTAAAGGAGGAAAACCTGGTGCCTTCCTCCCAAAGCCCGTATATAAATCAAACAACAACTATATGTATTTCGTTACTGAAGTATTTCTGAGCGGCACTTTCATAAAAGTATGACAAGGTGGTAATAAAGGATAACAAGGCAGATCATGAGAATGACTAGTCTCCATATAACACATTTTTAACTTTCTTGTTGAAAAACATTTAATGCCAGTTAGGAAGTTATAATGTGTTCATACTGGCTAATTTGCTGAATGACTTGGTGTTCTGGGTTCCATTAATTATGTTTGTGTTAGTCTTTTGAAGGGATGAATAGTTTTGCAATTTGCAGCTTTTTCATTTGAGCCTTAGGGAGTTGCACTTTTTGGGTCTCATATGCTTGGACACCTGTGCTCTTAATAAGCTTCTCAGGTACCTACGGCAATTCCATTTGCCTTTGGCAGGATGTGGTTGGGGGCACCATGCCAATGTTTTCCCTATTGTTCACATATTACATGTTGGCCCATCAGGTGCTTGGCATTAATGTGACATTGTGCATGTAAACAGCAGCCGTCCTGCAGAAGATAAAGTACTGGCTGTGCCTCATCACCTTAGCCCATCTTTGAGTGACAGCTGCATCCTGGAAAATTGGCATAATGCTTTGTTAAGAGGCATGTTGCCATTGATGAGAGATTAGGCAGAAAAATGATTGCAAATGCGGTCTTTCAGGACTGTGGAAACTGGCAAAAGCATTGTAATAATAATGATGTTGTCCTTTTTGTGATTTGAGTCTAGAGGCCATTGCAAGACAAAAGTGTATAAATGGGTGTTTTCCAAATGTCTGAAAGCTGTGGCCATTTTTTTTACTCAGATTAAAATTGGAAAGATATTTTATTTCTGCAACCCAAATGGTTTACTCGGATAGTGTGAAATTAAGAGTTAGCCAACTCAGAAATGCCCACCCCTCTATTTCTACCTGTTGATAGAAAGACAAGACAAGTACAGTGGTACCTCGAGTTAAGAACTTAATTCATTCTGGAGGTCCGTTCTTAACCGGAACCTGTTCTTAACCTGAAGCACCACTTTAGCTAATGGGGCCTCCCGCTGCCACCATGCCGCCACCATGTGATTTCTGTTCTCATCCTGAAGCAAAGTTCTTAACCCGAGGTACTATTTCTGGGTTAGCGGAGTCTGTAACCTGAAGCGTCTGTAACCCGAGGTACCACTGTATCCTCATTTGAGGACTTTTATTTTTTTTATTTTTAAATAATATTTATTGCTTTTACAACAATTTAAACACTACAAAAAAAACAAAGAAAAAACAATACATTACAATACAAAGACACTACCTTACACTAAAACATTAAACAAGACAAAACAAAAACAATTTAAAAACACATCAACAAAGAAAAGAAAAGAAAAGAAAAATTTCAATGTCTTATCTTTCTTTCACATATTTCCACAACCTCATCACACCTCCCTTTTTGTATTCCACTTCTATTAATTATTTCAGCAATTCCTTTCCATCTTCCCCTGTTTCCTATCCTATAATTATCTTAACACATTTCAACCTTATTTTTCTTTTAATACTCTATTAATCTATTTGTACTTAATTCCTTATAACCTTTCTACTAAAGCCATATCACTTCATTCTAACATTCTTCTAGCATTCCTTAATTTTACAATATTTCTGTAAATAGTCTTTAAACTTTTTCCAGTCTTCTTCCACCGACTCTTCTCCCTGGTCTCGGATTCTGCCAGTCATTTCCGCCAATTCCATGTAGTCCATCAACTTCATCTGCCATTCTTCCCTGGTGGGTAAATCTTGTGTCTTCCAATACTTCGCGATGAGTATTCTTGCTGCTGTTGTTGCATACATAAAAAAAGTTCTATCCTTCTTTAGCACCAATTGGCCGACCATGCCCAGGAGAAAGGCCTCTGGTTTCTTAAGGAAGGTATATTTAAATACCTTTTTCATTTCATTATAAATCATCTCCCAGAATGTGTTAATCCTTGGGCACGTCCACCAAAGGTGAAAGAATGTACCTTCAGTCTCATTACATTTCCAACATTTATTATCGGGCAAATGGTAAATTTTTTCAAGCTTAACTGGTGTCATGTACCACCTATAAATCATTTTCATTAAATTTTCTCTTAGGGCATTACATGCTGTAAATTTCATACCTGTGGTCCATAACCGTTCCCAGTCAGCCATCATTATGTTATGTCCAACATCTTGTGCCCATTTAATCATAGCTGATTTCACCGTTTCATCCTGAGTGTTCCATTTCAACAGCAAGTTATACATTCTTGACAAATTCTTGGTTTTTGGATCTAACAATTCTGTTTCCAATTTTGATTTTTCCACCTGGAAACCAACTTTTTTGTCCAATTTGTATGCCTCCATTATTTGATAATAATGAAGCCAATCTCACACTTTGTTTTTCAATTTTTCAAAGCTCTGCAATTTTATTCTATCTCCATCTTGCACCAGAATTTCCCAATATTTCGGCCATTTGGCCTCCATATTGAGTTTTTTCTGTGTCTTCACTTCCATTGGTGACAACCATCTTGGGGTTTTCTTTTCTAACAAATCCTTATATCTTATCCAAACATTAAACAG